AAAACGTCCAGGCCTCATTGGCTTGGTTGACGATTTTATTGAATATGCTTGATTCCAAGTCAAAAGAAGTAACCGGCTTTATCCTTTGTAGTTGTCCAGGTCACCTCATGTCCTGGTCTTTGGTTAACGCCTTAGAAACGTCTAGGTCTGGTAGGCTTTGTTGACAGCGTCCAGGTCAATTCCATCTCTTGAAAATGTCTAGGTCATGTTATGTCCTGGTCAAGTACAAGCCTTGAAAACATCTAGGTCTTGCAACCTTGAAAATGTCCAGATCTTGTGGCCTGATTAGTCTTCTGGACCGGCTTGTGTCTAGGTTGAACTGCAACAAACGTCCAGGTCATCTCATGTCCTGGTGTAGTAGGCTATGTTGGAAGTTTTGAAGACCACTTTAGACGCAAGGCTTGAAAACTTCCAGGTCATCTCATGTCCTGGTTTCTTGACTTGAAAACGTCTAGGTCGGTTTCTTCCTCGCCTGTTTTCTGACCCAGTCAACTTCTAGGTTTTAATGGCTTCGTTGCAATATGTAACCAGCATGACGTCAAATTTCCTGTCCAGGTGCCGGGTCAAACATATGACCGGTCAAAAAATATTCTTTCCAGTTTTGTCTGATTTCATCAAATCCGCCAACTAAAAAGTGACCGGTCACTTTTCTCAAAGCTGACCGGTCAAATTTTCATTTTTTTTCCCATCCGCATTTTCTTGTCAATCCAGAACATAAAAAAGTGACCGGTCACTTTTGACCATGCCACCATCTTCTCCCCCTCTGGCCTGGGTGCCATGCCTAATAGCAACCATGCTCAAATTTCGAACGAATAATCCGAAACGGTTTTGGAATCATCAAGTCTCAACATCAAGACCCGAACTTTCTTCGGAGATTTTGACCATGTCCTATGATCGCGAACCCTCTCCAAGGTTCAGCCCTCTTCCAGGCAACACCCTTCTTCCAGGGCCCCTCTTCCAGGTTTTAAGTTTTTTAATGTGCCATTCTCTAATCATTAGGTTGACCTAGCCAACCCAATCTTCCCACGTGGGGGTATGCCGGTGAGAACCATCCCTCATCCAATCTTACATGTCCATATGTTATGCGTTTGAAGTGAATTCTAGTCTTCCCTAGACCCTTCAATCCGCAAAGGATGGCTCATGCAAGACGGTAATCATTTTTTACTTTGGCATCTTTTTGCCCCTACCAAATGAAAATT